GCTGAACTGACATGAGTGTTCTCTTTATACGCTATGCTTGTTATTCTCTGAGATTTCCAATGTTTTCATAAGTATTTTCATAACTGATCTTCAGTGATAAGAGTTTGCATAAAAGCTGACTGAAATTATTCCACGATTCGCCGTGATCAGCTTTACAACTACAGTGTGCTCTGGAGGGACCATCATTATATGCGGCTTCTGAGGGAAGTATACTTTCTTTGATGCCAATTTCCATCTTGAAGTGATTGCTGACTGTGAGTGCACCTCTACTCACTCTCATCTTCATCATGGAGCAAGGCAGGCAAAGTGGAGAAGGCTGAGGAGAAGACAGTGTCTTATCAGTCTTTTTTTTCCCTATGAGCCCTCCCTGTGGCTCTCACCTTTGATCTGACGTGCAGACAGAAGCAGTGCAGGGGGGAACAAGTCAGAGCCGTTGGGGGAAGAAAGAAAGAAGGAGGGAGAACATCATTAGTAAGAGCTAAAGAAAGGTACTTTATCTGACGTCAGCGAGCTAAACCTGGGGCTTTGCTCTGGCTTGCCATCGTATATCAAAGTTAAATGGGTGCCTCCGCCCAGGATGTGGCTGCAGTGGATGAATGAGAGGGAAATGGGTTTCCGACAGAGTAAAGATGCTAACTCTCCACATACATTCAAAGATCAGTGTGCAGATACAGACGAAACGTCACTGATGAATGAATGAATCTCACTTCCTCTACAACAGTAGAGGACAGCAGGTGCTGGTGAATGACGCTGTGTGACCAGCTCAAAGTTTCTGGAGAGATCCTGGAATCAAATCCGAATGCTCCATTCTTAATAATATTCATCACTACACTGTCCTACATGGCAAAAATGATCAAAGTATTTACAGCATAACCACAAGATGATCACCCTTCAAGTAAGTGCTTCACTGTCTATAAAATCAGTCCAAATATTTCACCTGCACCAGATCAAAGTGGGAAGTGAATATGAAGGTCAGATACCACAGAGTACAACATACATCATCAGTCAGAGGTCTCCCACACTTTGGTGTGTGTAATCTGACCCAAAATTTACCTCCCATTCAGTGTTTCTCTTTAAGACATTGACTTAGACACACACAATGTTCAGTTTTGAACTTGTTTACTCAGATGCACGCAGATGCACGCAGATGCACGCAGATGCACGCAGATGCACGCAGATGCACGCAGATGCACGCAGGTGCACGCAGATGCACGCAGATGCACGCAGATGCACGCAGATGCACGCAGATGCAAGCAGCAAAGATGGAGAGATGCCCATGACGCATGCAAAAGTGCAACTGTGTTTGTGGACCTCATCAAATATTCCATGACAAAAACAAAAATTACTCAATGGAGACGCTACCTTGGCTTCCATAATAGTAACCCAGGTTTTTAGTATTTCACCACATTCCTCTTTCCATACAAACACATGGCAGACAAAGGAGTCGTAACCAAAGGGAACTTTTTGGATTTACAAATTGCAGGCCGCCAATTACCCCAGAGGACTTAGATTGTCC